TCATAACTTAATTTCTAAAATATCTTGTTATACATCATTATTAAAAACTACAACATTCGCTAATAACTGATTACTATAATTGTGTTGCATTCATTTCTCTTACAAGCCTTATGTGCAGGCACACCATTTCTCTCCACTAATAGTAGCAGCGAATATATATATATATATATATATATATATAATTTTAAGCCCTGTGTGTGAATAAATATTCTGATCTTTTTAAAAAATATAAAACTTTATTGTTCAGATTATTATAGTTGTTTCTATTTTTCCCCTCATAGCTCCCCTCCAACCTGTTCCCACACCACCACACATGCCCTTACCGCCCCCCCCCCCCCCCCGTCCTCATCCATAGGTGTAAGATTTTTGTCCAATCTCTTCCCACACCCCCATTCCCCCTTCCCCCTGAGAATTGTCAGTCCAAGCCCTTTCTATGCCCCTGATTCTATTATGTTCACCAGTTTGTTCTGTTCATCAGATTTTTTTATTCACTTGATTTTTAGATTCACTTGTTGATAGATATGTATTTGTTGTCACTTTGTTGTTCATAATTTGTATCTTTACCTCTTTCTTCTTCCTCTTCTTAGAGAATACCCTTCAGCATTTCATATAATGCTGGTTTGGTGGTGATGAAATCCTTTAGCTTTTTCTGGTCTGTGAAGCTCTTTATCTGACCTTCAATTCTAAATAATAGCTTTACTGAATAATCTTGGTTGTAGGTTCTTGCTATTCATAACTTTGAATATTTCTTGCCACTCCCTTCTGGCCTGCATAGTTTCTGTTGAGAAATCATCTGACAGTCATATGGTTACTCCCTTGGAGGTAACTGTTTTTCTTTTGCTGCTTTTATGATTCTCACTTTGTCTTTTGACCTTTGCATTTTAATTATGATGTGTTTTGGTGTGGTCCTTCTTAGGTTCCTCTTACTTGGGGTTCTCTGATCCCAGACTTGTAAGTCTATTTCTTTCACTAGGTATGGAAAGTTTTCTGTCATTATTTCTTCAAATAGGTTTTCAATATCTGCTCTCTCTCTTCTACTGGCACCCCTATAATTCTGATGTTGGTATGCTTGAAGTTGTCCCAGAGGCTCCTTACACTATTTTCATATTTTTTTATTCTTTTTTCTTTTTGCTTTTCTGTTTGGGTGTTTTTTTGCTTCTTCATATTTCAAATCTTTTTAGTTGATTCTTGGGATACTCCAGTCTTCTGTTGAATCTCTGTATATTATTCTTTATTTCAGTAATTGTATGCTTAATTTCTGATTGATCCTTTTTCATATCTTTGAGGATCTCACTAAATTTCTTAGAGGATTCTAGAAGATTCCTGATTACCCTTATAACTGTGGTTTTGAAATCTAGACCCAGTATTATTTTGCTTTCATCCATTTCTTTCATTTGTGACTTGTTTAGTTGCGCATTTTGGCTGCTTCCCTGTGTTTGTTTTAATGTACTGTGTAGCTGCTAAGTCTCCTTGAGTTGATAAAGTGGCCTTGTGTGGTAGGTGTCCTATAGGGCCCAGTGGCTCAGCTTCCCCAGTCACCTGAAGTGGACGCTCTTAGCTCCCCATTTGTGGGCTGTTTGCAAAATCGCACAGTCTTGTAGTTAACCCTTGATTGCTAATGGTATCAATGGGAAGAATTGACCTCTAGGCCAATTGGCTGTGATGACCAGTCTACACTGGAAGATCTGTTGCATAGGAAACACCCTTATGGAGCAGGAATTGCTTCAGTGGAGCTTTGGTGCTCACTGAGTCTGCCCCTTGGGTGTGTCACTTATGGGTGTGAAGAGTTGTAATCTGGTATGCTCTCACACTGACCCCTGGGTACACTGGCTCTTGGATATCCAAGGATGTGCAGGCCACTGTGTAGGGCCTCCAAGCAGGAGCTACAGAGATATCTGCAGATTCCTTCTCTTTGTATGGGGTTTGGAAGTGCCCAGATGAGGCCCACTGTGAAGTAAGGCCACTGCTTCTGTTGGGCTTTGGACCTTCTTTTGAAAGCTCTGGAGCTCTCTGACCCAGCTGCAGTTTGACAGGTTTTAGACAGAAAAAGGACAGTCCATTCATATGCAAAAGCCTATACACACAACTTGGGTGGGGTTGTAAATTGGGTGGGGCGGGGTCTCTGGGAATCACCAGGGCAGAGCAAACAGAAATGGCTGCCAGTCAGGCCTGAACTGGGGAAGTCCTTGGTTCTCCGTGTGCTTTGCCCCTGTGCAGGAACAATGATCACTGTGAGCACCTCTAAGAGAAAGCCACCCTAACGTTCCTGTCCCAATGCCAGACAGTCCAGTTTCTCCCCAGAGTCTCGCCCGGAACTAGAGTTCAGAGCAAGTGAGAGCTTGTATCTCACTCCTGGTTAAAAAAGCAGCACATCCAGGTGCCAGCATTTTCCTCGCCTCCGCACCTCTTACCAGTCTCACTGCACTTTTTTTACCTCTCTAGTGGTAGAACTTACACTCAGCCAGCTTTCTCGCAGTTCTGGGTGATAGTTCTGCCATTTAATCATGGTTTTGATGTGGTTGTGAGAGGCAGCAAGTATAGGTGATTACCTATGCCGCCATTTTGGTTCTCTCAATATTCTGATCTTTTAATCTTTCCAAAACCTTAGCAAAAGGTTGACCATTTTTCTAGAGTATGCTTTCCTGACAGAAGTCTAGTTTTATCATCTTTTCCAATGTAGATAGGCTTAGAATGTCATGAAGTCCTGGTTTTAATTTTTTTCTTTATTGTTCTTCCCTCAATTTACCTCTTTCCTCTTGCATCTACACTAATAAGATAAATATGTAAATTTACTGTCACTCCATGACACCCACTGAGTATGCAAATTAACCAGACAAAGATGGCAGTAGTTCCTCCCCCTCTCGCCACCCCCCCTACCCCAGCTGCTCTAGGCATCTGGGCAGCATGCCTGCAGGCGTGGAGCGGCTGGGCAGGGCAGGAAATCTGCTATGAGGGGGAGGGCAAGGGGTGGAAGGAGCTATAGGAGTGGTGTTCCAGCTGGAGTGAAGACTGAAGACTCCTGTTGGAGTGAAGATGGAAGGCAGTGGCCAGAGCGAAGGCCTGGGTCCCAGGTGCCAGAGGAAAACCAGTGATGACAGCCAGGGGAAGGAAGGTTTATTGCATGAATCTTTGTGCAACAGGCTTCTAGTTATACTATAAACAGCAAGGAAAAAAATAAGGCCATGATTTCAACACTTTGCTTGAAAATCACCTCAGTTTAATACCCAAATTCATCATTTATAGCTCTGTTTTCCACAAAACTATGGGGCATAGTTCAGCTAAGATTCTTGTAACTATAAAACAAAGATCCTTTTAAGTTTCCAATAACATGTTCCTCATTTCCTTCTGAGCCTTACCATCAATGCCTTTATAATAGTTTGTAAAAGGCAATCTAGACTTTTTCTGTCATCTGACCCAAAATTCTTCCTGCCTCTACCCATTACCTGATTTCAAAGCCACTTCTACACTTTGATATCCACTACAGCATCACCACACTTCTCAGAACCAAAATCTGTATCACTTTCCTATTTCTGTTATAATAAGTTACCACAAACTTAGAGGCTTAAAACAACATACATTTATTATCTTACAGTTCTGGAGGTCTGAAGGTCAAATGAATTTATATGACTAAAATAAAATCAAGGTGTCAGCAGGATTTGTTTCTCCTGGAAGCTCTAGAGCAGAATCTGTTCCTTGCCAATTCCAACCTCAAAAGGCTATGGGCAATCCTTGAAAATCTTTGGTTCAAAGTTACATCACTCTGATCTCATTTTCGTTTTCTCATCTCTGTTTGTCTTCCTTTTATAAGGACACTTGTTATTACATTTAAAGTCCATCTGGATAATACAGGATAATACTCTTCATCTCAATCCCCTTAATTTAATGATACCTACAAAGTCTCTTTTGCCATATAAGGTAATTTTCACCGGTTCCAGGAACTACGATGTGGGTATCTTTGAGTGCCATTATTCAGCCTTCCACAAGGGTAGTTTAAAAATTCTTCATATCTTTTTTTAGTTAATAGTGTAATAAATTTGTTTAATGTGAAATCTTTAATAAGTTGTATAAACTTGTAATTTACAGTAATTTGTTTAATGAATCCATCACTAAGTTTAATATGTAAATTGAATAAAATAAGTACTAATTAAAAATAAGTATTATATTAAGAAATAGAATTTTTTCAACAGCATGGATGGACCTGGAGAGCTTTATGCTAAGCAAAATAAGCCAGTCAGCGAAAGATAAATATCACATGATCTCACACATTTGTGGAATATAATGAACATTATAAACTGATTAACAAAAATAGAGAGACAAAGAAGCATCGAACAGACTGTCAGACTTCAGTGGGAAGTAGATTAACTAAAAGATTTTCATCTTTCATGCGTGCATATAAGCATAATCAATGGACACAGACACTAGGGGGGCAGGGTTAGGGCATATGCGGGGGTGGTGGGGGTGGAATGGTGGAGCTGGCCAGGGTAGGGGGAAGTCTATGGGGAAAAAAGAAGACATATGTTATGCTATATGTAATACTTTAAACAATAAAATAAAACTTAAAAAAATAAAATATACTTTGGAAAAACAAGAAATATATATTTTTTAATATTGTCAGCCAATTCGTTTCACAACAAAGTATAAAAGACCTAAACACAAGTTCTTTGGCTACTACTCTATGTAAAGTTAGTATGTATTCAAAACAGAAATATAGGTCCCAAGAAAGGAGAGAACATGTTAGTTAAGCACACACTTGGAATGAAGATACAATATTGCCTTGTAACAGTCACACAATATGTACCAAAGAGTTGAGAAAACACAGCTAAAATGATCAAGCCTGCTCAGTATCTATAGGGTTAAAAACTTAGATTCCAGAGACTCAAAATTCTTTTTAAAATCCAGTTTAATAAATCAATATGAGATAAAAATAAAAATAAAAATGAAAGAATCCCTGGCTTTATCAAATACTGCTCTAATTCTAACAGAAAATTCAATATCCTTACCTAGGCTGGAATAAATGTGGCTGAGAATACGAGCTGGTTGTACTCTGAAGGGGGACACCTCAGCAATCGTTTCCACATCAATTCCCTTGTCCTTTAAAATGGCCTTAATTTCTTCTGTCTCAGCTAGAATGGAAACTGTAAGGAAGAAAGATGAGATCAACAGAAATTTTATTTCAGTAAGAATTTAAAATCCCTCAAGCAACATAATTTTTTTTGAAGGGAAGAGAAAGGAAAGTAGAGGAAATCAGTAATTATTGGGGAACATTCATAAAACAATTATCATGTTAGGTACATAATGATTATTATCTAAATAGCAAAGGAAAAAAAGACTTCATGAGCAGAGTATCATATTCTGTTTTTTGGTCAAGTATTGTGTTCCTAGAGAATGCCACACCCTCTTTATATCTGGGATTCCATGTTTAAATATGAAAAATTCTAACATGTTGTGTGTTATAACTTTGGTGAAAGTTAATTCCCCAAGATTCTCTCATATCCATACCCTTAAGACCAGGGCTAGGATTACAAGTGTAATAAAGAATACACTAATCAGAATATACTAATAAAAATTGCTCTATAGCTAAAGAATGGTAGAAGGCAAGGTAAATTGAAAATAAAGAATTGAGATATGACCGTTGAAATTGTGTGCGGTTATTTTTTTTGCAAGGGGGAGGGAGTAGGGATAAATTCTTTTCTAGACGCAGAGCCTGCTAAGCCTGGACAGCTCCATTTTGTTCCTCTTACACTAATGCCTCTGATGTAGTCATTGTACTTACAAAAGAGGAGACCAGGCCAGCTCCCTGTTTACTCCCCCTCTATAAGACAGATATTTGACACTAAGTACCAGGAACAAACATGCACCCAATTCCTGTTCCACTAGTGATGGTATATGTGTTGAATTGGGTTCATGGGAAAATGAAGGTACCATTTGATTCATTCCAGCTTACCAGTATTCTTTATGTTGAGGGGTTTTTCTTTGTTGTTTTTGTTTGTTAGTTTGTTTTGTTGCTGTTGTTGATTTGTTTATTTACTTGTTTTTAGCAAAAGCCTCGTTAACAAAGTGATGATTGGCTCTCCTTTGCCATTATATTTTGTGTATTTTTCAAGCTTGGGAACATTATGGTGTTGTGTTGCTGTGGTCTGAGTTAGGATATGCAGAATATGGTTATTACAGAGGCTCCTGGATATAACATCATCTTGATTACTTTTTTTTTAATTTTTATTGAATTTGTTGGAAACATAAAGAGAACAAAGATTCTCCAGGGAACATATACAGAGGAAGAATGATAATAGGCTGAGAAAAATCCAGGGAGCACATGTGGTCACCCATTCATTCATTAATAAACATTTACTATGCACATAAATGATGAGGTACTATACTTGGCACTAGGGATATAGAGATGAATAAATTATTCTCTCCCTTAAGAATACATAGTGTAATGAAAGTGGCATACACATAAACTGATTCTAAAATAACCTGTTAGGTAAATAGAGGTATATACAAAACATGAAACCACCCAAGAATGATACCTAGTCTGGGGTTGGCAGGGAATAGTTTCAGAAAGGGCTTCCCAAAAGAGTTATTTAAACTGAGTTTGAAGGAATGAATAAGTTAGCCAGAGAAAGAAGGAACTAGGAAAAGGAAAGCCATTTTAGGTACAAGATCCAGAATGATCATAAAGCATAGAAATGAAAAAGAATGTGGTTGCATTGGGGAGGAGAGGCACAGTGGAACTACTTGCACTTCAATATTGCCGTAGCATAAAGTACCCATAAAGTGGCAAAAAGAATAATATAAAAAGGCAAACATAATAGAGGGCATATGTGTCATTTTACGTATTTTTTAAATATATATATATATATATATATATATATATATATATTAGGTCTAGTAATAATTAATGTCGTTTTCTAATACTTTTTTAAATCGAACTTATTTAAACAATACAACAAAATTTAATCAACAATATAGTTGCCGTTGTTTTCTACTACTTGTGCCCAATGCTCAGGAAGCATTTTAATCCCTCTGTTGTAAAATTCTTGTGATTTTGATGCAAAAATTTCGGTCAATGCATTTTTGAGGCATTCTTCATTATTAAATTTTTTTCCAAGAAGAAAGTTTTGCAAAGAACGAAACAAACAGTAATCAGAAGGGGCAATATCAGGAGAATATGCAGGTTGAGGGAGAACTTCCCATTCCAACTGGCGCAGCTTTTCAGCAGTGATTCTTGCAGTATGCAGTCGTGCGTTATCGTGGTGAAGAATTACGCCCTTCCGATTAATCAGCGCGGGTTCTTTTTCTCTTAAAGCTTGGGCTAACCTTTCCAATTGGGCACTATACACTGCACTTGTAATGGTTTGGGTAGATGGTAAAAGTTCATAATGAAGAATTCCTTTAAAATTCCACCAAACACACAACATCACTTTTTTCGCATGCAAGTCAGGTTTTGGCATGGGCTGCGGAGCCTCATTTTTGTCCAACCATTGAGGCCGCCTTTTTAAATTAACATACAGCACCCATTCTTCAGCTCCGGTAACAATTTGCTCTAAAAACGGCAAACGGTTTTGACGAGAGAGGAGCGAACTGCAAATTGTGACTCTTTGATTACGGTTGTTGTCGGTCAACTCATGAGGAACCCATTTTCCAAACTTTTGGACTTTGCCAAGTGCACGCAATTGATTGGAAATTGTTTTTTGTGAACAATTTAAAGTTGTCGCAAGCTCTTGTTGGGTAATTTGAGGATTTTGCACCAAAAGAGCTTGAAGAGCTTCTTGATCAAAATTGGACACACGGCCTCGACCACTCTTGTCATCTAACGAAAAATTTCCCTCACGAAATTTCTCAAACCAAACGCTGGCATTTTCTGCCGCTAACTGCATCTTGACCAAGAGCACTACAGATGTTTTTTGCAGCCTCACTTGCTTTTCTTCCTAATTGGAACTCGTAAAGCATGCAGTGCCGAATATGCTCTTCATCCGCCATCTTCTTAGCCCTAGTTTTGCAACAAAAACCAAACCAAACACAAACTTTTTCAAGCAAAACTTGTTAATTGCACTTCACATGTTCTGTAGATACCACGTGTTTGAAGGTTATGTCAATACAAGTCAACGCCAAGCAAGATTTTAAATGAATGTTTAAAAACGACATTAATTATTACTAGACCCAATATATATATATATATATATATATATATATATATATATATATATATATATTTTTTTTTTTTTTTTTTTTTTTTTTTTTTACAGAGAATTAGAAACATGGATTAGCTGCCTCCTGCACACTTCCCACTGGGGATGTGCCCGCAACCAAGGTACATGCCCTTGACCGGAATCGAACCTGGGACCCTTCAGTCCACAGGCTGACGCTCTATCCACTGAGCCAAACCAGTTGGGGCACTTTAAGTATTTTTAAAAACTTTATTCTTGGGTAATGATTTTTGTACTGTATTCTACTGAGCCTCATGGGGTCTGCACTGGGCAATGCAATTGGTAGCAGGAGTAGAGGAGACTGAATGAGAAGCAATTGAACAACACTCTGGGGCCCCAGGAATGGTTTCAACCCCAACAACTCAGCTTTTTGTTTATTTTATGTTTTATAAAACATTTAGAAAATGTGGGGGGTTTTAGTACCACTTGGTAGGCACTAACAAATGCTAGTGATACAAAGATGATCTCTGAAGAAAATGAAGTTGACATTGTGTCCAGCTAGAGGGATGAATAGGACTTAATCTGATAAAGGTGACAGTAAAAGTAAGAGAGAAATTGTTCCAGACAGAAGAAACAGCATAGACAAAGGTTCAAGGGCAACTAAGAACAATGCAGATCTAGGAATTATAAAAAGTTCTTACAGGAGTGGCACGGAGTATGAAAGGGAAGTGGTGAGAAAGGATACTTGGGATAGAGTCAGGAACCAGGTCATAAAGAGTATGGTAAGCCATGTTAAGGAGGTTGGCAATGTGAAGCCCCTGCAGAGTTGAATCAGGGTAATAACATATATATATATGTGTGTGTGTGTATATATATATATATATATATATATATATATATATATATATATCTTTAAAAGAATATGTTCATGTTGATGATTACAGAATAAAGTAATAGACTATAGTGGGCTTAGACTGAAGTCTGTGAGACCACTTAAAAAGTTATTATAGACTAGAGGCTGGATGCATGAAATTCGTGTAAGAGTAGGCCTTCCTCCCCCTGGCTGCCAGCACTGGCTTCTCTCTGGCACCTGGGACCCGGGCTTCCCTTGCAGCCCCAGCTTTATCCAGAAGGTCATCTGGAAAGACATTGAGTCTAATTAGCATATTATGCTTTTGTTATTATAGATTAGGATCATGCCATTGGCACTGGAGAGAACTACACGAATTTCACAACTATTTAAAAAGGAAAGTAGGACTTGTTAATTGTTTCTTTAGGAGATGAGAAAGGGAGAGATATAAAAAATGATTCTCCAAGTACTTATGTGTATAACTGGGAGGATATTGTACCATCTAATGCACATGTGTCAAACACAAGGCCCGCGGGCCAAATCCGTCCCGCCAGGCCTTGCAATGTGGCCCACACCGCGCTGTCATCTCTGCACTCTGCTGCGTTTCCATCACAATGACAGTTTATGACTGTTCAGTAAACCATTCGGCCCGCGATTTAGGCTGAATTTTAGATTTTGGCCCCTTCTCTGATTGAGTTCGACACCCCTAATCTAATGACACAGGCACATATGGAGAAAAGCAGGTATAAGTGATGTAGTAAGAGGAGTCAGCTAATTAATTTTAGCTGTGCTGAGTTTAAAGTGCATGTGAGACATCTGAGTGGGGCTTTCTTAAAGGACACCTACATAAATTAAAGAGTATTAGCATAGAAAGAGATGAGATGGGTCAAGGAGAATATAGAGAGATATAAGAGAATCTAGACTATAACCATGAAAAACTGCAACATATAAGAAGGGAGCAGATAGCCGAGACCGGTTTGGCTCAATGGATAGAGCGTCGGCTTGGGGACTGAAGGGTCCCGGGTTCGATTCCGGTCAGGGGCATGTACCTTGGTTGCGGGCATGTCCCTGGTGGGGGGTGTGCAAGAGGCAGCTGATCGATGACTCTCTCTCATCGATGTTTCTAACTCTCTTATCTCTCTCCCTTCCTCTCTGTACAAGATCAATAAAATATATATATTTAAAAAAAGGGGAGCAGATAAAGAAAAGCCTGGGGTAGGAGTAAGGGGTTTTTATCTCATAGCTTATATTTTCTTTGTAATAGGAGGTGAGGTCATCTTCTGAGAGGGAAGAAGGAGGCAGAAATAGAAAAAAAAATATTTGAAATAGGAGGACCCTGAGAGACAAGAACAAATATTCTCAGTTAGAGGAACAGTGGTCTACAGAAAGAACTCTCGGGAAGAACAACAATTAGGGGGCAAAGAAAAGAAGAAAGCCCAAAATGAAACAAAAAAGTGAAAATTTTAAGTTGCAGGAGAACTAAGAAAGTATGGTATCACAGAAGAGTTAAGAGTGTCCATAAAGATAAACAATAAATGAAACATAAAGATCAACTAATATATGAATTAAAAATGATCTATTGAGTTTGGTAATAACTTAAGCAAAAGAATTTTCCAAGGAGTAATGAGCTACTATAAGGGATTGCAGAATGAATGAAATAAAAAGAAGGGGAATTTTGGTTGAGAAAGGGAGGATAGGATAACTAGAGAGAGATGAACATGTCAATAGACTAAAAAACAGAACCAACTTAAATTTTTTGAAGATTAAAGAGTTGTATTTTAAGAAGGCTAAGGAAGAGAAAAGACTCAAGCATCTGGTGGGGGGGGGAGGGGGTTGGCCTTGAAGATGAGAACAGACACCTTTTTTGAGACTGGAGGGAAGGAGGCAAAGATGGGTGGAGATATAAGTAAGATTGTGGTGTGGGAAGAGGATGGGAAACTGACACAGATCCAAAATATTAAGATTATCCAGCATAACTAGAAGGCCAAAAATGTAGCTGAATTCAAGAAGTGGTGTTGAAAAGATAAGGTTTGGAATAGTAGTTGAGAAGAGTGAAAATGCTGGCTAACAATAAGAACAAGGCACTGTGGATCTAGCTGAGTTGGGGACCATGAATTTACAGTGCTATCACTCTGTTCATTTGTGTGACTTTTTCTAGTAACTTTAGCAGGTCAGGTGTAGGATCAGAAAATGCTGATTGTCCAATTGATCTGGAGCTGATTTTTCTAGTGGGTGTAGTAGAAGTATGGTACAGTGGTGTTTAAGATATTCAGATGATCAACCAAGAAGTAGGACAAGGGAGGAAAAATAAAACAAATAATATGTAACTATGAATGGAGGCGGGGATTTTTTGAAGTGGAAAATATTTGAGGTGGTTCTAAAGTTTTGTCCTTGCTCTTCAAACTGAGTGGCTAATGTAGAAGTGGAAGTAAATGTTAGTATGGTTGTGTATATCAAAAAAATTTGATGCTAAAATGTTTGGGGGCACTTCCTCTAATGCTGAAATTTAGCACTATAGTAGGAGCTGGAAAAGAAAGCTGTGAGCCAAGCATCAATGTCTTCAATGAATGATTTAGAGCAACCAGGAGATCAGTATAGCCAGATGGCATAAGCCTCAAAGGAGAACAAGCTTTCTCATGGGAGGGGAAGAGGAATGATTTTTTTAATTATGTTTGCTATATGCATTGATAAGCAAAAACTACCTATATGTCCACATAGGTGTCAAGTATAAGAAAGTTTAGAACACACACAAGATTATTTTGGATATATAACCAACCCTAAAGTCAAGTGACTGGAGACCTTTCAGAGAAGGGTCACAGAGAGACTTAGTACCATGTTAGGCTCTGTTATTGGAGAGTCAAAACCACCTCAAACTTTCTACTCTAGGAGACTAGGATAGCAGTGAAGTAATTGAGACAGATAAGGAAAGTAGAAAGATCTGCTTTTCTTGGGAGAGGTGATATGAGGGGATAGAGTCAAGGTTTGCATTTGAAGTGGAAGTGATAAAGATATTTTATAGGTATTGGGACTAGAATTCTTAATACCTTAGAATTTAGCCCAGTGTTTTTTATAGAATAGGTACGTCAACATTTTTTATGATTGTTAGGAACAAAATGTAAAGGTTTGGAGGCAATAGTTGAAGCCATATAAACAACTTTATTATGAAAGAGGAAGCCCTAACACAGGGTGTAAATCCTGAAAGACAATAATATAAGACTAAGTACACAAACATTAGGAGGATATGAGAAGAAAGAAGTAATAGCAGAAAAAAACATGGAAGGAATGCTCAAAAAGAAAGCAGATATAATCAGGAAGCTATAGTATCACGATGATGAAAAGAAAAGTGCTTCCAGAAGTAAGGAGTGGTTAAGTGTCAAATAACATAATTTATTAAGCATTTGTTCATAATTAAGATTAATAGCAATTTTGAAAAGAAACAGAACCACATTCATTCTATACTTTTTATTTTTATTTTTTATTTTTTATTATTTTTTTAATATATATTTTATTGATTTTTTGCAGAGAGGAAGGGAGAGAGATAGAGAGCTAGAAACGTTGATGAGAGAGAAACATCGACCAGCTGCCTCCTGCACACCCCTCACCAGGGATGTGCCCGCAACCAATGTACATGCCCTTGACCGGAATTGAACCCGGGACCGTTCAGTCCACAGACCGACGCTCTACCGCTGAGCCAAACCAGCTTTGGCATCATTCTATACTTTTTAAACCCTTATAAAATACATGATAAAGAATAAAGTCTGACCAGCTTGTATGGCTCAGTGGTTCAGTATAGACGCATGAACTAGAATTCCTGGTCAGGGCACATGCCTGGATTGTGGGCTCTATCCCCAGTAGAAAAGGAGCAGGAGGCAGCTGATGGATGATTCTCTCTCATCATTAATGTTTCTATCTTTCTCTTCCTCTCGCTAAAATCAATACAAACATATTTTTTTTTAAATCATCAATTACTGGCCAAACCAGATCTTTAATACAGCTTCTGTTTCTGTGAATAAAAATACATACCTTGAACCACAACATCTGGCTTTGGTACAGTTGAAAACCTACGATTCAGGGGATCAATTTCTCCAGGAGCTAAAAATCCCTAAAGAAAAACAGTAAAAAGACAACTTATTACATTTCAAAAAAGCTATTGTTTAAGGATAAACAACATACAAGTGCCACAACCCTGTACCATAACGGATAAAAGGTAGGCATGAGAAGGAAACAAATACCTTCACAGTATGAAATGTTTAAACTCTTGAATTCTTATCCAAATTAATTTTAGCTGTAGTTAATTTTTAGAGGCTACCACAAATCCATTTTTTGAAATAGACAGGGTATAAATAACATACAAAAATTTTTCTAGTTCTACTTATACCTTCTTTTGATGTATATGATTAGACAATAAGACCACAGTGCTTATTATCAATATTTTAACTCATTAGCCTGTTGATTCCTCAATAATTTGCAATGCTTTCTGCTTAGCAGATATGTTTTAATTTTTAACTTTTATATATATATATATATATTTTTATTGTTGATAATATTACTGATGCCACCCATTTCCCCCCACCTTTTTGCCCTTCCACCCTGCCCCTATCTACTCCACCAGGTCTTCACCACCCTATTGCCACTGTCCATGGACTATGCACATAAGTATGTAAGTTCTTCGGTTTATCTCTTCTCATCCATCCCACACATACATCGAGAAATGTTGATCTGTTCTATGCAACCATGATTCAGGTCTTATTTTCTTGGTCAATTCATTTTGTTCATTATATTCCATGAATAAGTGAGATTATTTGATATTTGTCTTTCTCAGATTGTCTTATCTTTCTCAGATTGTCATGGATCCAAGTCCATCCATGTTGTCCCAAAAGGTAAGAGACCTCTCTTTTTTATAGGTGCAAAGTATTTGATTGTGTAAATGTCACACAGGTTTTTTTTTATTATTATTCATTAATCTACTGATGGGCACTTGAGCTGTTTCCAAATATTAGTTATTGTTAATAATGCTACTATGAATTTAGGAGTGCATATATTATTTCTGATAGGCATTTCGGATATATTCCTAAAAGTGTGATCACTGAGTCAAATAGAAGTTCCATTTTAAATTTTTTTGAGAAAACTCAATACTTTTTTCCATAGTGGCTGTACCAATCTGCATTCTCACCAATAGTACACAAGGGTTCCTTTTTTCTCGGCATCCTTGCCAGCACTTGTTTGTTGATTTGTTGATGATAGTCATTCTGACAGGTGTGAGGTGATATCAGATTGTGGTTCTAATTTGCATTTATCAAATGGTCAGTGACTGAGAAATTTTTCATATGTCTCTTGGCCTCATTGGAGAAATGTCTACTCAGATCCTCTGCCCATTCCCCCACCCCCATTAGATTGTCTTCCTTTTGTTGAGTTGTATAAGTAATTTATATATTTTGAATATTAATCCCTTACCAGATGTATCATTGACAAATATGTTCTCTCATACAGTGAGTTCCCTTTTCATTCTGATGGTGGTTTCTTTTAGTATACGGAAGCCTTTTATTTTGATATAGACTCATTTGTTTATTTTTTCTTTGTTTCTCTTGCCCCAGGACAGTGGTTGGCAAACTGTGACTCACAAGCCACATGTGGCTCTTTGCCCCTTGAGTGTGGCTCTTCTACAAAATACCATGGCCTGGGCGAGTCTATTTTGAAAAAGTGGCATTAAAAGAAGTTAAAGTTTAAAAAATTTGGCTCTCAAAAGGAATTTCAATCATTGTACTGTTGATATTTGGCTCTGTTGACTAATGAGTTTGCCAACCACTGCCCTAGGAGATGTAACGACAAATATTTTTCTATGTGAGATGCCTGAAACTTTACTATATATGTTTTCTTCTAAGATTTTTATAGTTTCTTGGTTTACATTTTAGTCTTTTATCCATTTTGGATTTATTCTTGTGAATGGTATACTAAGTTGGTGGTCTAGATTAATCTTTTTGCATGTATTTGTCCAATCTACCCAGCATCATTTGTTGAAGAGACTGTTCTTACTCCATTGTATGGTATGGGTAAACTTTGGGGGGCTCTGTTCTGTTCCATTGATCTATGTGCCTATTCTTATGTCAATACCAGGCTGTTTTGATTCTAGTGGCTTTATAGTATAGTTTAATATGTGGTATTGTGACCTGCCAATTTTATTCTTCTTTTTCAAGATTGCTGCAGCTATTTGGAGTCTTTCATGGTTCTATATAAATTTTTGGTGTATTTGTTCTAATTGTGTGAAGTATGCCATTGGTATTTTAATAGGGACTATGATCAATCTATAGATTTCTTTGGGTAGTAAGGGCATTTTAATGATGTTAATTATACCAATGAATGGCACAGTATACATTTATATTTGTTTGTATTGTCCTCTACTACTTTTTTCAACACCCTATAGTTTCCCAAGTACATGTCTTTTTTTTCTTCCTTGGTTAAGTTTATTCTTAGGTATCTTTTTGTTGTTGTAATGGTAAATGGGATTTTTTGTTTGTTTGTTTCTCTTTATGAGAGTTCATTATCTATACATATAAAAGGCTAATACGCTAAGTGTCCAGGTAATGATATCACATAGCAACCCCCGGCTTCCTCTTCCTAGCAACTAACCTCCTTGTAGATTCTTCAGCTCAGGAACACGACTTGCTTTATAGCCAGGTGCAAACATTTCACAGTTTAATTAAATATTTGTGAAGCGTGTTTATGTGCCTCATCTCATTTGATCCTCACAGAAGTCCTGGAGTAGGTAGATAGGAGACTCTGTAGAATTCTATTTTATTTTCATTAGTTGGAAAATGGAGATTTAGAAAGCTTAGAAACTTGACCTGACTGAAAAGAAGTAAGAAATGGTGGACCTTGAAAATGACTTCAGATTTTCTCACTGCACAGAATATAGTCAATCATTGCTGCAGTTAAATATTTTAACCTTTGTTCTCCCTGCATGATCTACAATAATATCTGCTTTGTGTTAATATTTACTGCTATGTTGCTAACAATTACCTGAAATAGAAGTTGGGATGCTTCACTGGGCTAGAAAAAGATTGGCTAAATTAGAAAGCAGGTCTAGTTAAGCAAGTTTATTCTATATCTATAAAAGGCTAAGTTGACTCGCACATGTACAGTACATATAAAGCTCTAGCTAGCGCCAATTGCGTGTGTGTGTTTCCATCTGTCATTGTTGATAGTGAATTTGGTTGACACTTCTATTATAGAGAAAGGATGAATAGTGATATTAAAATATTACTTCTAATTAATATCCTTTCAATGTGTGCAAAATTGTGTACCAGGCCACTAGCTGGAATATAAAACTATCATCGATTTTAGGATGTTAATTTTGTATCCTGCTATTTTGCCAAATTCATTTATTAAATCTAGTAGTCTCCTGGTGGAATCTTTAGGGTTTTCTATGTACAATATTATTTCATCTATGAATAATGACAGGCTTACTTACTCCTTTCCAATTCGGATGTCTTTTATTTTATTTCTTGTCTCATCCCTGTAGCTAGGACTTCCAGTACTACGTTGCATAAGAGTGGTGAAAGTGAACATCCTTGTCTTGTTCCTGTTCTTAAGGGAAATCATTTTTGCCTATTGAGTATTATGTTGCTTGTAGATTTAACATATATGGTCTTCGTTATATTGAGGTATGATCCCTCTATTCCCACTTTACTGAGAGTTTTTATCCAAAAAGGTGCTGGGTGATTTTTTCAAATGCTTTTTCTGCATCTATTGATATGATCATGTGATTTTTATTTTTCACATGTGATATATGACATTTATTCATTTATAAATATTGTACCAGCTTTGCATCCCTGGAATAAATACCACTTGATCATAGTGTATGATCCTTTTAATATATTACTAGATCCTATTTACTAGCATTTTGTTGAGGATTTTAGCTTTTGTATTCTTCAGGGATATTGGCCTGTAATTTTCTTTCTCTGTAGTGTCTTCACCTGGTATTGGAATGAGGCTAATGCTGGCTACATAAAAAGAGCTTGGAAGTGTTTCTTCCTCTTGAATTTTTTGGAATACTTAGAGGAGGATAGGTATTAGTTCTTTTTTTATTATTAAATTATTATGTGTGTACATATCTTACCATTCCCCCCCTCCCATTCATACCCTCCTTCTCCAGAGTTTTGTGTCCATTGGTTGTACTTATATGCATGTATACAAGTCCTTCAGTTGATCTATTATCTCCCCCAGCTCTCCCTACCCTCCGTGCTGTAATTTGACAGTCTGCTTGTTGCTTTACTGTCTCTATATCTATCTTTTGGTTCATCGGTTTATAATGTTCTTTATTATCCATAAATGAGTGAGGTCATGTGGTGTTTCTCTTTCATTGACTGGCTTATTTCACTCAGCATGATGTTCTCCAATTCCATCCAGGTTGCTGCAAATGATGAGAATTTCTTCTTTTTTATGGCAGCATAGTATTCCATTGTGTAGCTGTACCATAGTTTTTAGTTCTTCTCTGAATGTTTAGTAAAGTTCTCTTGTAAATCCATTCAGACCAGGACTTTCATGTGCTGGGAGTTTTAAAATCACTACATCAATTTCATCAGTTGTCTTATTTCGGTTTTCTGATTCTTCCTGATGGAGTTTTGGGAGATTGTATGTTTCTAGAAATTTGTCCATTTCACCCAGGTTGTTCAGTTTGTTGGCAAATAGTTATTCATAGTATTTGCTTACAATCATTTGTATTTATGTGGTGTCTGCTGTTATATTGCCTCTTTCCTTTTTGATTTTATTTACTTGTGTCCTCTCTGTTTCTTGATGAGTCTGGCTAAGGGTTCATCAATCTTGTTCATCTTTTCAGAGAACCAGCTCTTGGATTCACTAATCTTTTGTACTTTTTTTTGTATCTGTCATTTCTTTCAGTCTGATCTTTATTATTTTCTTCTGTCTACTTCCTCTGGGCCATTCTTGCTATTCTCTTTCTAATACATTTAGTTATAGGGTTAGGTAGTTTATTAGTGCTTTGTATTATTGCTTGAAGTAGGCCTGTAATGCTATGAACTTCCCACTCAGGACTGCTTTCACCTATCCCGTAGGTTTTGGGGTGTGTGCATTCATATTTATTTG